AGAGTGAGGACGGTGAGTTACATATATTTATTTCCAAGCTTTCGGGGCTTTTTATTTTTACTCCATACATTTCTTTTATGCTTGCTGACGCCATATTTTGCTCGGAAAGCGAACCTTACTGCGCATGTCGGTTCCATATTTCTGGCTATGTAGTGCAAAATCTCACGACACCAGTTTTTTTCACATTCTGATCACGTCGGTTGTTTTATTTTCATCATTCTTGTCACGTGGTCATCTTTCAACCAAGGACACTGTTCGTTACATTGGAAAAAATTATTAGCTATATAACAATTGGTGATATATTTAACATCGCTATCATATATGTTAAATAGATGAGCGATCTCAATAATTTTACAAATACAACTCACAAAGGGTCTTGTATTTCGCTATCAAAAGGCCAGGAGAGTAGCAATTCTCTGTGGAAACACTGGAGAATCTCTGATTATTTGTTTTTTTGTTTTATTTTTTTTTTTGTTTTGCTTGCAGCTCCATCCGCGGACTGAAAATTCCAGAAAAATAATTGCTTCCGTTTTGTTGTATGTGATTAGTGCAAAATCTCACGCCACCCTCTTTTTTCACGTTCTGATCACGTCGGTTGTTTATTTTCATCATTGTCACGTGGTCATCCTTCAACCAAGGACAGTGTTCGTTACATTGGAAAAAGTTCTTAGCTATATAACAATTGGAGATATATTTAACATCCCTATTACATATGTTAAATAGGTCCAGATTGCTCTCCTCCACTTACTCGTACCATACCCACTTCATCCACATCTGTATACGTCTACTGGGCTCCACTGGATAGGAATGCAAAGTGCATTAATGGAGTGTTGAGAGGATACAAGATAGCCTACAAAATATCAGGAAGATATTACAACTTACAGAATGTCGATGTGAAACAACCGACTGCTCGATCGTTTCTGGTGACAAGACTTCAGAAATTCACAACCTATTCATTCCAAGTACTGGCATACACTATCGAGGACGGTCCACTGAGTAATGCACGGGATGCAACAACTTTAGAAGATGGTAAGAAAATTATCACATTTTTACTTGGTGTAGTTTTTATTTCGATTTGGAAGAAAAGGAGAGGCGTTTGTTTACATTATAGTAGATTTTGGAATCAAGAGACTGTTAATTAGTTTATTCTAATGTAATAGTTGACAAAGTAGATTTATAAAAGTATACCATATATAGTATAGTATACACTCAATGTCTGGTCGCGAGGGAAATAGTTAGTTTTGTCTTTCCGGGAATCTTGAGTGAAAATAAAACAAACTTATTTTCTCGAGGGACCGGACATTCAGTTTTTTGTTATTTAACAATTAATAAATATTTTATTTAGCAATCTCAATGCATGAAAACTGGAAAATAATTTTACAAATACAACTCACAAACGGTCTTGTATTTCGCTATCAAAAAGAGAGGAGAGTAGCAACAGCATTTTCAGCCTCGTTTTTCGTATTTTGCTGATTCTTTCACTCCATTATAAGTCTGTTTTTCTYTGTAGAAACACTGGAAAATCTCTGGTTTTTTATTTTTATTTTTTGGTTTTTGTTTTGCTTTCAGCTCCACCCGCGAACTGAAAATTACAGAAAAATAATTGCTTATGCTTTGTTGTTTGTGGTTGGTGCAAAATATCACGCCACTAGCTTTTTTCACGTTCTGATCACGTCGGTTGTTTATTTTCATCATTCTTGTCACGTGGTCATCTTTATACCAAGGACAGTGTTCGTTACATTGGAAAAATGTCTTAGCTATATAACAATTGGTGATATATTTAACATCCCTATCATATATGTTAAATAGGTCCAGATTGCTCTCCTCCACTTACTCGTACCACTCCCACTTCATCCACATCTGTATACGTCTACTGGACTCCACTGGATAGGAATGCAAAGTGCATTAATGGAGTGTTGAGAAGATACAAGGTAGCCTACAAAATATCAGGAACAAATTACAAGTTACAGTATGTGGATGTGAAACAACCGACTGCTCGTTGGATTCCGGTGACAAGACTTCAGAAATTCACAACCTATTCATTCCAAGTACTGGCATACACTATCAAGGACGGTCCACTGAGTAATGCACGGGATGCAACAACTTTACAAGATGGTAAGAAAATTATCACATTTTTACTTGATGTATTTTTTATTTCGATTTGGACGAAAAGGAGAGGCGTTTGTTTACATTATAGTAGATTACATTATAGTACTGAGTGATGCACGAGATGCAACAACTTTAGAAGATGGTGAGAAAATCTTGACATTATTTACTTGATATAGTTTTTATTTTTATTTAAAAAAACTAGGAATTTAGGAATATTAGTTTAGTAATAACATACATGAAATACTCAATTCTGATTAGCTCAGAGCAGTGTTGTTAAACCGTAATACAGTGCAAAAAATTGTAATTCAGGGCAAAAAAGGTGTAATTCAGTGCAAAAAAGTGTAAAGAACGTTTCTATCGTAATTTTTAGCGTGCATTTAAAGTGCTACTATGACGAAAATCGCTCAAACTTGGATT